TATATTATTAAATGAAATTTAGAATAGTCTATAATTTTTTCAAGTGGTTCTTAACGTATTGCATTTGCCTTACAACCTCCTTAATAAAAATTATAAAAAGGACTCTCAAGAGTAAAACAAACATAAGAATCAATAAGGCTAATGAGAGTACAGCGTGGTTAACGGTGCGCAACGCAGTAATATACAAACTTATCCTTATGGTAATTATTCAGAATAGCTACCTCACCTCCGATTTTAATAAAATTAGGCTCATTAGACGCGTTTTCACTCAAAACGAAAGAATCCGGCAAAAAAAAATGCAACGGTCGGCCCCGCGAACCGAGATATTAAGCGTTAAAGTTGACTACTATTGAGATCAGAAAATCAGAGGCAAAACGAGGTCTATAATTGTACCATTGCACACGCGTTTCGACTCTATGCGAAACGACTCTCACCACCCCTCTTACCTGCAAAGGGGCGCACGACTTCTACAATTATACTGTTGCATATGGGTTTCGACTTTCCATGCGAAGCGATTCTCACTCTCGACCATGGTCTCTTCTTTTATTCTTCTTTAATTAATGGCTCCTGCCTGCCAAAAGAGTAAACGGAGGCGATACAGCCTGATCACATTTTACGAGATACAAAAAAGATGATGCAATGCCCGCGAAAATGGCGACTCCGGGCGCCTGCGTCCACGTCGTTACGTTGTATGAACACGCGTCAGGACGAACGGACGGAACGTTCAAAATACAAAACGACCTTTGTGAGTTACGCTACACAACCGAAATCGGCAATACTTCAAAAAATATACTACACAACAGCACCCGAATCGAGACACGTCCGCCTCGGGCGAGTGGTTCTTCAAAACTCTTTCGACCATGGTGGAAGGGATGAACACGAGCTGCGTTCCGTAACACGCATGATGCGCATGATACATTATTTAGCTTTGTTATTCACCAAATGTTAAACAAGAGGTCTGTTTTCTGTAGCTGAACTAATATCAACTAATGTATACTTTTGGAACTTAAAATGATATAGATTACAGATACACGTTTGATATTTTTTTAAAGCGAGAAAGAGAGTTTTAGAAGTCTAGTGCGGGAACAGAAAACAGACCAAAGGATAAATTACTACGTTTACACGACGCGTGCTTTAAGGCGATGCTAAAGCCTCCTGTTTTACCCACATTTCCATTCGGTGAAAAATCTCCGTATTGGATGTACGGATTACAAAAGTATTATTACATAAATTAAAGTACGCACAAACAGGATCTCAGCTACACTGGATTTCATGAGAAAATCGGAAAAAAGTTTAAAATTTGTTAAAAATTCACTTACTTTTGGCTCGTACAGCTGTCATTTCAGATATATATTTGCTTGATATAA